GTAACGATAACCCTATGTGCAAAACAGAAAAAGAGACTCCTATGTATAGAACAGACTTTTGGACTCTGGGAGAAGGCGAGGGTGGGATGTTTCAAGAGCACAGCATTGAAACACGTATATTATCTAGGGTGAAACAGTTCACCAGCCCAGGTTGGGTGCATGAGACAAGTGCTCGGGCCTGGTGCACTGGGAAGACCCAGAGGGATTGGGTGGAGAGGGAGGTGGGAGGGGGGACCGGGATGGGGAATACATGTAAAAAAAAAAAAAAAAAAAAAGATACACTATGGTTGTGATAAAAAAATAAATAAATAAATAAATTAAATTAAAAAAAAAAATAAAAGATAGCTTCCTTACTAAAAAGCACAAGAAGCATATTTTGGAAATGTGCACAAAGGCGGAGCATCCAGACATGAGGGGCACCCACCACGGGCTGCTGGCCGCCTCTCAATCCTCCTGGACACCTGACGGGGTCCAGGGGGGATGAAAGTCCTCAGGTGACACAAATCTGTGATGATGCCACGGGACAGAACGTCTCCACGAAGCAGGACAGGGCAGAGGTCACGACCGTGGAGTGGCCCAGAGGGACCTCTGTCGGCCCTTCCCCAACACAGCCAGGACTATCAGTGACCGTCAGTGACCATCAGTGACCTGGATGCCAGGCTGCGTGAGCATGGCTGGTGGGGGGTGGGGGGCAGGAGAACCCCCTCTGAGGACCCCCTCCTGCCACATGCACTGAGCAGTCACATCAGAGAGTGGCCAACCCTGGGTAAGAGCATGTGGACAGAGGGTCCAGGGACACCTGGTGTCCCCCGACCCTGGGCTCCGGTCACCCCAAGGTGCTGGGAAGAGGCGTGTCTGCTTCCCTTCCCCAGGCCACTCCCAGGAAACCAGAAGGTGAGTTTACAGGACGTCTGAGCCACTGCAGGACTCAGCAAGGCAGACAATAAATAAAAAAGAGAAATCCATGAGATGTCGAAGGAATGAAACAGGCAAGAACTCAGAAGAACAATTGCTTACTTCAAAGAACCAAGGGAGATGTTTGAAGGAGGAGAAAGCGTAAAGATGAAGACCTCAAGGTCGGAGAGCGGGGACGGCGCCACACACTGTGGAAACCGAGGGCTCTGGAAGGGGTTGGCAGCCAGTGAGGACAGACAGGTCCCCAGCAGACTGGCCTCTGGGGGCAGGGGGCGGAGGCCAGCCAGGACATCTCCGCGTGGAAGACACAGGTCCTCACACTAAAGGGTGTGAGAGCACCAACAGGGGAAACTCAGGAAACTCTGTCCTCAACACCCGTCCTGACCAGGACCGGGCGCAGGGAGACCCCCGGACAGCCAGCAGGGAGGCCGAGCCCGGCCCAGCCCAGTGCACCACTGGCCAGCAGGACTGACCCCGGGACCAGGGGGCCCTGGGTCGGACATGCTGGGAGTTTGTGAGATGAAGTGAGAAGTCTACACAACACCAGATGTGTCTGAGTCAACCAACATCCACACTGGTGTACCAGCCTGTGTTCCGTCATCTGCCCAGGAAGCGCGTATCCAGGGAAACGAGAATCTGCTTTAGTATTACCTTTGAAATTAAAGTTTCCAGAGCCTTACAATGAAATTTATGTCAAATTAATTTCTGGGGCTCAATGAAGCTTAAAATGAATTCATAATGAGGTGCATTTAAGAGGTGTATGGGTTTGGAGGGGCTGATCAAAGAGGTCCCCTTCCTACCATTAACTCTAATTTCGTGATTATGACACATTTTACCCCACATGACACATAATCTAAGAGATGATATGCTTTTACAATTACTGTATATGCAGAATGTGTGACCAAATGGAAGTTGAATATTGCTACATTATTATTATCATTATTAGTTAATTGAGTATCAACAATGTGCACACTTATATGAGAGACAATGAAGAGAGAGTTCCTCTGTTGGAGATTTATATTTTAATTTAGACACACTTATAATTCCAATATAACACATACAACCTGAGAAAATCATTGTCTCAAAAGTGCAAAAATTTCCTGAAATATGTGCTTACAGATCCTGATGACTGGGTGTCAACAAACAGTAATATTTAAGAGATTCCGCTTTCATAGAAGATAAGGTATTTTTGAATTTTTCACATGCAAATATTAAAAACTTTAAGAACATATCTTAATAAATAAATTCAGCTTCCTCAGAAAATGAAATGTGGAGCATTATAAAGACAGAGGGAAATGTACAGAACTTCTGAATCTACTTCTCATGTATTGCTACCTTGATTCCATGATTATTATGTTTGAGTCGAGAAGGCAAAAATGGGTATATTGTTTAATCCAGTTGAGACACAGATTCCTAATGATATACACAAGATTTGTACTTCTGTGTTCTCCTTCCTAAACAACACACATTCAATGAGAAACAGACAAATCACAGCATTTGTGGCCTGAGCATGGTTACGCAGACGGTTTTATTCCATCACCATTTGGAGAAAATGTCCAGTGAAGACAAGCCTGAGCGACTCCAGGGCAGAGACGGCAGGACTCACCCATTCCTGAGCCCTTCCAGGAAACAGGCCGTGCCCAGCCGGAACCGTCAGGGTGGCCCCTAGGGTGGTCAGGAGGTGCACCCCCAGCCCCCAGACGCAGGCCACAGGAGACAAGGAGCGCTACCGCACAGTGCCACAGACCTGTGGGTAAGAGCCGCAGAGTCCACAGGAAACAGGACGACCCTCCGCAGGAGCGGCATGTCTCTCCCTCCAACACCCGGGCTGTGCTCTCACGGAACGACCGCGTTCTGTCGGTCATATAACTGTGGGAAGTTACTCACATTCATGTGTTTATACACAGAAACCCAGTGTTGCTCATACAAATAATAAAGAAAATTCAATAACCGTCTAATCACACAGGAGATTCACAAGATAGGTGTGAGTCCTGAAAGTGACCACAGAGCATTTGCAATGACCACCAGGAAGTCACAGCCAAGCCACCCCCAACCCTGGATGTGGGGGAGCTCCCTGGCCTCCCATGGGGACGCCCCCATCCCCACATCGTCCAACTATGTCTCCACTTCCCCATGGACTAACATTTTCTCTTTTTTTCAGTGTTTTATTCTTTTACCTAAAACCTCAGATCCTTTCTAGAAGAAGTCATGATATAAATACACATAAAATTAGTTAAAAAAACCTTATATGATCATTTCATCCCTACCAGATTATAAAGCCAGCTGAAATTTTTATTAGATGAGCAATATCTTCAAAATATGCAAAGTCTAATTAATAAATATTCAATTAGGTGTTTATAAACCATTATATCAACTCACCTCATTAACTGTTCAACTGGGTATTCATAAAACTTTCACTGCTTCTGAGGACAATCTATACATTGGTAAGATGTTTTCAGCTCCCTGAATGCCCGAGTAAGCAAGAGCACTGCCAAGGAACCGGGTCAACTATCATTTAACCAGGTACCACATTGTGAAAAATGATCGGTCCTTCAGTTCAGTCGCTCAGTCATGTCCAACTCTTTGCGACCCCATGGACTGCAGCACGCCGGGCCTCCTGTCCATCACCAACTCCCGGAGTTTACTCAAACTCATGTGCATCACATCAGTGATGACATCCAACCATCTCATCCTCTGTCGCCCCCTTTTCTCCTGCGTTCAGTCTTTCCCAGCATCAGGGTCTTTTCCAATGAGTCGGTTTTTCACATCAGGTGGCCAAAGTACCTTACATATTTGCAAATTAAAACACCATTATTTCTGGGCACCAGAATATGACACTGGAGAATAAAGCCATGGCTTACTGAGACATAACACCCATGAAATCAGCAAATCAGAGCAAAATTATTTACATGCCTGCCAGTTGTCAGTTACTCCTAACTCCCTGCTGCCCCGGGGCCGTCCTGGTACCCACATAGGCTTCCTGGAACTGCCCACACCCTCCCGTCCTGCCCCAGGCCCTCCTGTCCTGCCCCAGGCCTCCCTGATGCAGAACTGAGACTTGGAATTGATGGCAAAGACAAGCCTCATTTTTAACAATTATTTACTACTGCAACAAGACACATATCTGCTCCAAACTTTCTTAAAACAGATGCCAGTAAAAATATGCTTCCAAAACAACCTAGCAACCATAACAGACACCAAAAAAATTGGCCAGAAAAATGTTTTCTGATACATCCAAATCTTCAGAGTTTCGGGTTTTTTCATTCAGTGATGGAAACTGCTAAAATGTTCTCCGTCTAAGGGAGCATTAGTCCTTTCTACCAGCTCCAAGTGAAGAGCACAGAAGTAAAGCGCTGTGAAGGGGACGTTTCCAGGTACAAACCAGGATTTCAGATAACAGCGTGAGCCAGGCTGGGACCAGGGACCTAGGACCCTTCAGTGCAATGTTTGCACCTGGACAAATGTCTCCTCGAGCAACAAAATACAAAGAAACTATCAGGGACTAACAATGACTGCGTGAAGAATATGACGTAAAAAGGCCAAAACCCAGCTGCCACATGGAGGTGTCGAGGGCAAAAGCAAGGTCCTGAGCACGAACCGGCGCTGGGGGCGGACACCCAAGTCACCTCCCCGCCTGACCCCTGACCTGCCCCCACCCTCACCCCACGTAAGGGGCCAGCCCACTGCCCTCAGGGAAGAGCAGGGGCTCCTGTTACTTGTTCTCACCGCCCCCCACCCCCCACATTGCAGCAGGAGCCCTAGTAAAGCCTTGCCAGAAGTCCTTGTCTGGCAAGCACTCTCCTTCCCTCCCGGCGGCCTGGCCGCTCCAGGCCTGGGGTCACGGTTGTCAGGCGCCTAAGAGACAGACTTGGCCTTTCCAGGAGCCAGGAGTTCCGAGCTCAGCCCAGCCCCACGCCACCACCCCGCAGCATCAGTCTCCACATGGCTCCCTGCAGGGCTGGGGTCTGGGACCTCCCGACCGAGAGCAGGCACCTCACACAGCCCCTCCGTCCGCACGCAGAACTCACCCGTCTCCTCTACTGTCGTGGTGTCCCCCCACGGAGCTTTTGGTGCCTTTTTCCCAGAAGACCCGGAGGACACAGAGGAGGAGAGGCCATCTTCACGGCCACTAACCTCCACGGAGACTCCAGAGGACTCGGCGTGGGGAGCAGACAGTGAGCGAAGCCCAGCGGGCTGCCGGAGCAGAGCCGTGTCTGGTCCCTTCCTGCCACCAGCTCACACCTGCCGGCTCACCTGCAACCGAAATAGGAATGCTCACAGTCAGGGCGGCGGCCAGGCTGGCTGTGGGGCTTGTGTGATGATTGATGAGAAGCACACACAGTGCTTTCACATCACATGCTGTACATGGCATCTTGATTCCAGCATTCTGATAACTGTATTTTAATATAATTTGTTCCTGGGAACTCATATTTAATTTTGTGCAATTTTAATGCATTCTGACCAACGTTCCAGCAAAGGCACAGGGGTGGGGGGGTGGCGGGGGGAAGGCGGGCGGGTTAGGACTCTGCCCTAAAGCCACCACATTCACGTCTCACCCGCCCAAGGAGGAAGGCGCCTTCTGGCCTAAGGATACTCCAGACTGCCCAGAAGGATATCTGCAGGAAAGCAAGTGAGGTTATTATTTCCTTTCTCCTTCTAAAGTCAGAACCCAAGAGCAAAGGCAGAAAAGAATCCCCACCAAGGCCCGCTCTCTAAGCCGGAGTGAGCCAGGGGGCTGGAGACCCTCCAGCTACTCCACCGCCTCCCGGCCATCGCCTGGCCCCAGCCTCCAGCAGGCGCAGTCCAGCCTTCCAGGGCCCCTCACGCACCCAGCCACTCCCTCTCGAGCCTCCTTGCGGCCACCAGCCTGCCTGGTCCCCAGAGCCCTGCCATCAGCCCCTGCCCCCACAGCCCCCCACCGCGTCCCTACCTGGCTCCCCTCCTGGGGGTGGGCGCCCCCCGCATCACCTGCTGCCTCTGACCAGTGGCTCTCAGCGCGTCCTGGGCTCCTTCCAGCGCCACCCACGCTGGCACGTGCCCCCAAGGAGGGCCCTTCAAAGCCGTTCCAAGCAAAACCCTGCATTTTCCAGGTCCACGCACAAGTGCCAAGCACCCCAACACGCCTACCAGCCTCTCAGATCCCACCATTGTCTCCCTCTGCAGGGGCTGCTCAGCCGCCTCTCACCCAGCATCTGCTTCACCAAAGCACCCACAGGGCCTCGGGGCCACCCCTGCACTTTGGGACCGTGGCTCCAGGCGACCCCTGCGTCCGCACGGGGCTTGTGCGTCCCCAAGAGCAGATCCGCACATCATTCCCGAGTGTGGACACCACACAGCAGAGAGCAAGCCCCCATGGGTCCAGTCCCGCAGCTGGAAGACCAGCGTTTGTCCTCATTCATGGAAATCTCGAAACATATCTGCAAACATGGTCATATCCGCGAACAGCTGCCAAAACCCAAGGGCTCCAGTCAAGAGCGAAGGCGCAGAACCACAGAAGGTAAAACCAGCCACTCCCCAGCCTCTACACTCACAGTTGAGAACATGCTGTGAAGATCCAATGCCTGTTCTGACGGTGTGTATGGAAACCAGAAGGGAGGTCAGGAGAGTCACTGTCAGATATGACAGCAGCTTCGTCACACCCGCTGCATCACTATTCCATGCATGTCAGAGGCAGCAGCAGCTGAGGACGAACCACACAGCCCAGACATGGATCCGCACTGCCCTCCTGGGTCTCCGCTGCAGGCCAAGGGCTGGCCCTGCAGGACCACAGGAGCCTGGACATCACGCTGCAGCTCAGGCAGGGCCCCCCGACCCCTCATCTTTGCGGCGTCCACACAGCAGCAGGAACCAGCCGTGACCACATGGAGCTCGTCACAGGGCTCCTGGCCTCCTGCTCGGGGTGCCCTCAGGCCCGCACTTCATCCTGGGCGCTCAAGCTCCAGCTCCAGGACTATTCAGGTGAATTCCAAGCCAGACACAGTCCTGTCCCTGACCTCCGTGGCCTGGTTTCATCTCCAGCCTTGCAGGTGAGTCTGGGAGACACCATGCGGGATCCACTGCCCCCAGGCACCAGCAGGACACGGCTCCATCCAGCATCAGCCCAGAAATCAGGGGCCCGAGCCCTTTCTCTCCAAACTGACACGTGTTTTTACTCTCCTCCGTCTTCCCTGAATCTGAGAGCTACACACATGGGTTCCTCCTCCTTACAGAATGAAGAGTGAGGAAGTGGGCACACAGGAAGGAACCCAGGAGTCCAGGCAAACCCACCCAGCGGCTCAGCATTCACGCTGCCCGACCCGCAATGTCTCAGGCACCTGCATCCTCAGCACAGTACCGGAGGAGGGGCCAGGGGCAGCTCCAGTGGGTGGCCAGCCTGAGGGACTGAGCTCTTGACCTGTAGATCTGACGCTGACTCTGGTGGACAGAGTCAGAACCGAGTTAGCATATGAAAAGTAAAGAGCATGTTTCATCAGATCCCTGACAAGCTGCTGACATTTTCTCTAACAAAATAATGTTTGAGGCTTGCATTGCAGATGATGAGGGAGAACTGAACTGTAATTGAACTGCTTATATTTCTTTTATCTCAGAACAATTATACCTCAAGTCCACTGAAGCCAACCGCCTAATCAAATCCCACGGCACCTTGATGTCCCTGCAGTCCAGCACTGCCCCTCCCCAGATGGTGTGGAGACCAAAGGAGAATAACCAGGGAGCTCTATTTCTCCACCCGTCCCCCACACCCTCCCAGTTAGATCCTCATCAGGGGACAGAACTATTAATATAAACGTGTTCCTGGGTCAGAGCTCTGTGAAGTACTTTCTAAACTGAGACACAATTATTTCTATCGTAACCAGTTCTCAATCCAGACACAAGAGATCCGTGCTCCCCCAAACCACCCAATGAAGCCACATGGTTCAAACTGCCCTTGTCGGGAAAACCAGGCACCATTTTGAGGGGTGATTGTGATGCCCATTACGAAAATTAGTTTTCAATATAATACATTATTAAGTCGCTGTTCCTGCCTGCCTTACAGGAGTCAGAGGCCCACAGGAGCCAGATCAAATTTAGGCACAGGAATTCTCAAGTTAATTTAGTTTAATTATGAGAGCTGAAAACTACTACTGAGTCTGCCCAGTTAATGAACGAGCCTGGTTAATGAATGGTTCTGGTTAAATTGTAGCTCTTTCTCCAGGTCCCCTTCTTTATTGCAAACTTCTCAAAGAGCCAGCTAAGTGGAGTCAGAACCCCTCGCTGAACCTGAATCATAAACGATTTTTTGCAGAGTAAAATTTAAATCTCAGCCCCTGTCGTCACGAAGTGGGGCCACTCTCCCCACGTCAAACACCGTGGAAGGTGGAGAACACCCAGACTCTGCCACTCGCCCCGGGCCCCATTCTTCGCCCTCAGCAGCAGCTCCGGGCCGGCAGCCTCCCAGTTAGAACCTTCCTGTTGCGTCCACACCGCCAGCCGCCCGTGTTCCTGGTCTGCCCTCAGGGCTCACCTCCTCCACTCTGTGTTTGCACATTCCATGATCCGTCTGCATCCAGGCCAGCTCCACCCCACAAGGCCACACTTACCGGAGGTTGTGCCCAGCTTGTCTGCGTGGACCACGTGTACACGCTCCGGGCGTGCACTTCATCAAATAACAAAACCCCCGCATGTTGGAGGCCCGCCTTGGGGCCCACAGTCCTCACACCGCTTCCCCACGGTGCGGGCAGGGTGCACATCAGTCTCCATCTCACTCTGAGTCCCCACCAGGCTCTCTGGTTCTTCCCCAAGAAGCCCCACTCCATCCACACGTCCCTGGCTCCCTGAGAGCCTGTTCTGGGGCCCTGCTGCCTCCCTGCTGTCCTTGGGCCCCGCAGCCCCGCCAGCCCTCTCCCAGAGCTCCTGCCCCTCAAAGACCTGTTACTCCTCTTCTCTCATCCACACCCCGGGACCCCTGACTTAAGCCTCCTCTGACTTCTTCCTGTGACTGTTCACTCCAGGGCTTCAGCCACTGCCCACTGGTTGACAGTTTTCTAAGCTGCTTCCACTGCCTCAGACACCTCCACTTCGATGCCCGGCAGACACGAAGTTTCTCGTCCCTAACAGACACGTCCCTCCTTTCCTGTAAATCTCCTTGGAAAGCATCACCCTTGAGTCACTCTTGCACATTCCCTGTCCCTTACCCCCTCCCCAAATCATCCAGTGATGACATCATGTCAGTCCCCTCCCTCAGTTCTCGTCCATTTCTGCCCGTCTGTCACTGCTCTTCTGTCCATCTCACCAGGTCTCTATCGTACCTCAGGGACTCTATCGGGAGGCCTCCTAGCTAAGTTCTATGCACTAGTCTTGTCCCAATCTAATCTCTGCATCCCCACAAAGGTCAAACACCAGGCCCATCTCATCTCTCAGTCTTAAAGCCCTCGGGGCCACTCTGGGCAAACTCCAAAGCACAGGTCCTCGGGCTGCCCCCCAGCCTTGAACCACACGTCCCATCAACAGACCCCTGCAGCCTTCAGCTCCTCATTTCTGAGCTTGGAGTCCCCTTTCTGGTGTCCGCCCTCCCAGCTCTGCCCACACACCTCTCACTGGTCCGTAAACCTCAGCTGGAGTTGCACATGCTCTGGGAAATGGGCTCTGTCTCCCCCTCCCATCCGAGCTGGGGACCCTGTCAGGGAGGCAAGGGTCCTGTGTGCATCACCAACATTGCACTTGGCGCATGGAACCTGCTCCAGGTCTTACCTTCCTCTTTCACTAGGCCTTGAATTTTGAGCATGGATTCTCTGTGTTTCTAGCTCATGGCTTCAGACCTGACACTCAGCAGTGGTTGGGTGAAGCCTCTTGAATGGGTGCTGCTGGTGTGCAGGGTGTGGAGGTCACTGCAGCCCCCAGATCTGGGGGCAGAGACAGGACCCCCCTCCCTATTCTGTGCGTTTCTCCCTCAGAGCTGACCCACTGGCAGAATTACCCTTCCCCAGGAAGTGCCTGGCCACTAGAGACCATGGGCCACATTCGGCGCTGAGTTGACAGCGTTGTCTTGATTGAAGCAGCAGTCAGCTAGAGACCCTCAAAGGCAGGGGGTCCTCACAAAGGGCCGCCCTGAGCACAAATCTGAGATTAAGTGGCACTTTGATGCTGGAACAATGAGGGTAAATCTTGAAGGGCTGCACGCCATCAGATCCTCAGAGACCGTCAGATCCTCAGCCCCCACGCCTGCTCCTTCCTGAAGTCCCTCTGCTGGAGGCTGAGCCTGGGGCCTGAGTCCCAGCCCCACCTTCCCCCACAGGGAAGGCTCACCGGCCACTCCTCGCAGCGGACCTTGGCGCGCCCAGGGGTAAAGCATCCTCAGCAGACAAGGAACCAGCGCAGTCCTGCTGTCAGCTTTGCGAACGTGAGCAAACAACGCAATGGCTGCATGGCAAACCCTTCTGCAAGCCAATGGTCCTAAAGTTCTGCCTTCAGGAAAGTTGCAGGAGGCCCCACCCAAGTCTCAATGGGATAGATCACTGAAAACAGTTTCAATGATTGATCATCGTGTGATTACTGGCACACACCCCAGAAGGAGATGGAAATACTGCATGCTGTTGCCACAACAAAGTTGCTTCCATTTCTACAATGAATTTATATTAACAAGTAGCTTGGCAAATATATCCATAAAAAGAGAATCGATTTGAGAGGAATGCTATCCCATTCCAGCAATGAGTAATATTCATCTACAAATATGTAACTAAATAGAAAACCACACTGTCTCCATCACATCTATAAACTTCTGACCACTGTGTTGAATAATTATTAATATTTCTTTTAAGTGATTGTGTGCTGTGGGCTTAGTTGCTCAGTTGTGTCCAACTCTTGCAACCCCACAGACTAGTCTTCCAGGCTCTTCCGTCCATGGGATTCTCTAGGCAAGAATACTGGAGTTGGCTGCCATTTACCTCTCCAGGGGATCTTCCCAACCCAGGAATTGAACCCAGTTCTCCTCCATGGCAGGCAGACTCTTTACCAACTGAGCTACGTTGCTTCTTTAAGTGATTAATATTTATTAAATTTTATAATTTGTTTATTTTGTTTTGATAGACTATGTCCTTACAATATTTATACCAATAAATCCAGAAGTATGAACACAAAATTTTCCCAATTATTTTAAGCACAGGGAATTTTTTCTGCAAAGAAGCATGATAAGACAATGGACCAAAGAGTTAAAGCATGTTATATAACATTAGGCTACATTCTTATTGGGAAGAGCAACAGAAATTTAAGGGGAAAAATAATATTTAACTTCTGGTTGTTAAGGAAAAGAATATCATTATCATGTATTTTAGATGGATAGTGCCATGTACCAAATTGCTATAGTACTTAGGCTCATATGATCCATTTTAATTTTTAAAGACCAGTATATATCAGTATGGTGGAAATAACTTCTTTGCAACTATCTGAACTGATGAAAAAATGCAGATGTCATCTTGAAAGGTGCAGAGGGGAGCGCTGCTCTGTGATGCTCTGCAGGGGCACCCAGGAGAAGAAACTTGACAGCTAGGTATTCTGTGTCTACCTGCGGTCCCTCTGGGCACTGGGGCGTGTGAACAAAGGCAGACACACCAGCCTGCAGGAGGGAAGGCCAGAGCCTGGGGAAGGGAACAACTTGCTTGAGGGCCTGCGTGGAGGCCTTAGAGTCTGGGGGAAGGCACCGTGCAGAAGAGGCCTCGAGTTCTAGGTGGTGGAGTGAGTCCTGGACAGTCTCCAGGCAGGGCAGATGCTGAACGGAACACCAGAGGTGGGAAGCCTGGGGTGTACCAAGCCCAGGGTTGCAGGAGGTGCAGGCGCGGCCAGCGTCCAGGGCTGGGCTGGAGAGGCCAGGCGGTGGGCGCCCCCGGGGGTCTTAACAGAGCAGAGCACCAGGACCCGGTTTGGATTCAGAGACTGTTCTCACCACCGCAGGAAGACCGCAGGCAGGAGCTCAGCTGGGAAATGTCACACGGTCCAGGGGAAGAGACGACATGGATAACAAGGCCTGGAGGAACTGACAGCCCACCATCGGGGAGGCGCTGGGGCGCGGACGGAACAGTCGCGCGTCCCCCAGCCGGCGGTGAAACAGCCCTGGTCTGCTGAGGACGTCCCAGGGCCCAGCACACCTGCAGCGACTCCTCTCCTCTCACCATGGTCACACAGGCAAGAGGGGCTGTTTGTTAACTGCCTACAACCGATGAGGGGCTTCCCTGGCAGCGAAAACAGTGAAGAATCTGCCTGTAGTACAGGAGACCCTGGTTCAGTCCCTGGGTGGGGAAGATCCCCTGGAGAAGGGAATGGCAACCCACTCCAGTATTCTTGCCTGAGAAATCCCAAGGACAGAGGAGGCTGGCGGGTTACAGTCCATGGGGTGGCAAAGAGTCAGACCTAACTCAGCAACTAAACCACAGTCAGCGAGGCTCCAGGCACAAAGGCCGGGAGGAACTGCCTGGGACGAGGCACAGCTAGGCAGAAAGGGTGAGTGTGGCCACCTGTCCTGAGGCCCCATGCGGTGGGCCCGGCCTGCAGTCCAAACACAACTCACCTTGTAAACTGTCCCCTGGACAGAACCCAAGGGGCAAACGGAAGGTATCTGCAGGCTGGCCTTTCATGGACCTCAGTCCTTGACTTAGTTCTCTCCATCAAAAAGAAAGTTCTTATGAAAAGTGTTGAGATGGGAGAGACACCAGAGGATCTAGGATGAATCCCCAGTTTTTCACCTCGAGAACCACAAACTCAGGGAGGCGGTTCACCCGCCAGGCTTACATCAAAGATAAAGGCTCAGCTTGGGCCACGGAGGCCGAGGCGTGGCTTCCAGAAGCAGACAGCGGATCCCTGAGAACAATCCTGATGGAACCACTTTTTTGGAGTTATTTAGGCAGAGACAGATATGGCTATAGAGATGCACATGTGTTTGATGGTCCTTTTAAGCCCCATTTTTGCTAAAAGTTTATAGGCTACAAAACACCCCCTTCCTTTTTCCTTCATGAGTCTGTGAATTCCAAACGAACACCCCATGCTCACCAAAAGTCTCCAGGATGATGCAGTGCAATGAAGAGGAGCAAAAGGAGGGCGTCGGAGCCCACACCTGTGCCCTGGTGACTGACGGGCCCTTGCATGTCTGTGCCCGCCCACAATGCAGGCTCCTATTCACCCGTGAGGCACGTGGCAGCTGCTAAATGGCTGTCTATGGCAGCTTAGTGAAAACAATAATAATACGTTATAAATCAATGAAAATGAAGTTTTTGCTGTGATAATCTGATATAGATTTGCTAACATTTGTATGAAATTCAATTCTGTTTGATTGCATCAGCATATGCTTCATTTCTTCCAGCACTATTGATTTTGAAGGTTCTTATCCATATGTCTAAATTATTTCTATTACATCCTTGCATTACTGTTCAGAAATAACCTGGGTAAACGGAAGCCATTTTTTCCCATTTTCTGTTGTTTTTCCCTTTTCTCGTCCTCATTCACTGCTTGGTTCTGTATTTTGAATGGAAAGAGGTACCTTTAGAAGAGTCTTCCTTCCTTCAGGAACAGTCAGTGCTGAACTAGCACTGCAATGTGCCAATTTCCATTGTTAACATTTATGATTGTCATTATTGTTATTATTTTCATTGTTATTGTTTTCTGAGAGCATCTGTCTGTTATGATGGGTCAAATTTTCAAGGAGGGTTTAAATGATCCTGGAATCCACAGCTACATATTAATCTTCCGGGGGGGGGGGGGCATGTGTGATTGTGCATCTTACTGAGGCCAATTAATAACCAAAAATGCGGAATTTTCAACACAGAATCAAAAAGGAAAGGAAATCAAAGGGAAAAAAATGCATGTTGAAGGCCAAGAAAGCAGTGTTGAAAAGCATCCACAGACACCAAAAAAGTGAGATCCAGATGTCACCCACCTTCCAGCAACCCAAATATGCTCGGAAGAGCGCCCCAGGAGAAACAGGGTCAACCACTAGGCCACCATCAAGTTCCCCCTCAAGCTCCCCCTCACCATTGAGTCACCATGAAGAAAATAGAAGACAACAACTCACGGGTATTCACTGTGGACGTCAAAGCCAGCGAGCACCAGGTGAAACAGGCCACGGAGAAGCTACCTGACTTTGACCTGGCTAAGGTCAACACCTGGTCAGGCCTGCTGCAGAGAGGGTATGTGTTCAGCTGCTTCTCCACTGGGATGCTTTGGATGTCGCCAACAAAACTGGGATCATCTAAACTGAGTCCCAGTTGGCGCTAGAGGTAAAGAACCCACCTGCCAATGCAGGAGACATAAGAGATTCGATCCCGGGGTCCAGAAGATGCCCTGGAGGAGAGCACAGCAACCAGTCCAGTATTCTTGCCTGGAGACTCCCAGGGAAAGAGGAGCCCAGTGGGCTGCAGTCCACGGGGTCACAGGGAGTTGGACACAACTGAGCGACAAACAGCATGTACTGCGTTCAGCTCCTCTGAACTGAGCACCCCTTGTCACCCTCCATCTGTGGACCCAGGGGCGGGGAGGGAGGTGCTTTCTGCCTCCCGTTCCTCCAGGAGGTCCCATCTCCTCTCAGAAACCCGCTTCTGTTCGTGCAGTTTGTGCTTGGTATCACCTGGTGCAGGGGGAACGTGAGGGAAAGGGGGAAGTTATTATACTCACTGACGGAAGCTCTTCTACTTGGAAGTGAAACTGATTCTAAGTCACCGCCCAAGCAGAGGGCTGGGCTCAGAACACCTCTGAGTCTCTGGTGCCATGAAAGCTGCGCCAGGATTACTTGCTGAGCGCTGGCACTTCTCACTCAAACCTGACCTGCCATCTTTTATACAGTAACCTATATGTTACAAATGAAGCAATTTAGTTTAACTGTTAGCAATAGCTTTTAAAATAATGAGGACAAATCACAGTATTATAAAGAATACAGCAAGCTCACCAGAACTCCGAAGACAGAAGCATTCTCGACCTTGGCAGTTCGTTCCAGCAATTCCTGCGTATACTTTAAATTTGTATTTACATGTGAAATAAAATCTCTATTATGCATCACATCACCTTAAAGTAACAATTTTTTTTTAATCTCTTCTGAGACAAATTCTACCAGAACATGAGACGAGGTAGCACACAGCCATTTTTACAAGCAACATAGAAAGTTAGTTTGCCTTTATTTTCTGTTGCCTTATCAGGCTTTTTTTCATCCACGGCCCTTAATTTTTAAATCAGTGCTCTTAGGGAAGAAACAAAACAAAACACAACTGCTAGAAGTCAACCTATGTCTCTGTACTCTGAAGGACAGGAACCAGGCTCTGAGCCCCGCTTCACAATCAAACTGGACAAACGGAAATAGACTGGAGCAATGAAGCCGGGGCTGGAGGGGCCTGGAGAGGCCAGTGGGTCTCAGCCCCATGAGCTTCAGCCCAAACCATCCGGGACTGATGGTCGGCTCCAGGAGCAGGGTCCACGTGCACCTTCAAGGTATGTTTTGAGGTTAAAGAAGTCATTCCACCTGGGCTGCCTGGAGCCCTGAAACTAAGTGGAAAACATTTGGAAAACATGTAAATACCTAAGCCGATAAAACACTCATGGAGGTCGCCCCACCTACTCAGCCAGCGTGATGATGGTTTTCAAGGGAACTGGGGTGGGGCGACTTGCCTTGATTTCATTTAATGATAAGGCATCAATCTCTGCAAAATAGACAATTTTAGCAAACCACATTCTTAAAAGCATGCGCTAACTTAACTTTACTGAAACTTCACTCCAATTAAAATTAGTTTTATACATACATTCTTACATATGTGTGTACATATATGTGTGTGTATATATATATATATATATATATATGTATATATATAGAGAGAGAGAGAGAACTGAAAGTCATAACCAGGGCTTACCAGGACAATAACAGATCCCTTTAAGTGACTTTAACAAAGGAAATAGACCTTTAAAAGTAAATATCTTTTTTTTTTAATCTAAGAGCATCAAGCTACATTATTAGGTTTAGTTTCAGGAGTTTATTTATGCAATACCTGCGATTAACAACTACTTTCAGCTGGGCTCCCTGTGCTATAGAGCAGCTTCCCGCCAGCCATTTATTCTACATGTGATAGTGTCTACATGATAGTGACGGTGTCTACATGATAGTGATGGTGTCTACATGATAGTGATGGTGTCTACATGATAGTGATGGTGTCTACATGATAGTGATGGTGTCTACATGATAGTCATAGTGTCTACATGATAGTGATGGTGTCTACATGATAGTGATAGTGTCTACATGATAGTGACGGTGTCTACATGATAGTGATGGTGTCTACATGATAGTGATGGTGTCTACATGATAGTGATGGTGTCTACATGATAGTGATGGTGTCTACATGATAGTGATGGTGTCTACATGATAGTGATGGTGTCTATATGATAGTGATAGTGTCTACATGATAGTGACGGTGTCTACATGATAGTCATAGTGTATACATGATAGTGATGGTGTCTACATGATAGTGATGGTGTCTACATGATAGTGATGGTGTCTACATGATAGTGATGGTGTCTACATGATAGTGATGGTGTCTACATGATAGTGATGGTGTCTACATGATAGTCATAGTGTCTACATGATAGTGATGGTGTCTACATGATAGTGATGGTGTCTACATGATAGTCATAGTGTCTACATGATAGTGATGTGTCTACATGATAGTGATGGTGTCTACATGATAGTGATAGTGTCTACATGATAGTGACGGTGTCTCCATGATAGTGACGGTGTCTCCATGATAGTGACGGTGTCTACATGATAGTGACGGTGTCTCCATGATAGTGACGGTGTCTACATGATAGTGACGGTGTCTACATGATAGTGACGGTGTCTACATGATAGTGACGGTGTCTACATGATAGTGACGGTGTCTACATGATAGTGACGGTGTCTACATGATAGTGACGGTGTCTACATGATAGTGACGGTGTCTACATGATAGTGATGGTGTCTACATGATAGTGATGGTGTCTACATGATAGTCATAGTGTCTACATGATAGTGATGGTGTCTACATGATAGTGATGGTGTCTACATGATAGTCATAGTGTCTACATGATAGTGATGTGTCTACATGATAGTGATGGTGTCTACATGATAGTGATGGTGTCTACATGATAGTGATGGTGTCTACATGATAGTGATGGTGTCTACATGATAGTGATGGTGTCTACATGATAGTGATGGTGTCTACATGATAGTCATAGTGTCTACATGATAGTGATGGTGTCTACATGATAGTGATGGTGTCTACATGATAGTCATAGTGTCTACATGATAGTGATGGTGTCTACATGATAGTGACGGTGTCTACATGATAGTGACGGTGTCTACATGATAGTGATGGTGTCTACATGATAGTGACGGTGTCTACATGATAGTGACGGTGTCTACATGATAGTGACGGTGTCTACATGATAGTGATGGTGTCTACATGATAGTGATGGTGTCTACATGATAGTCATAGTGTCTACATGATAGTGATGGTGTCTACATGATAGTGATGGTGTCTACATGATAGTCATAGTGTCTACATGATAGTGATGTGTCTACATGATAGTGATGGTGTCTACATGATAGTGATGGTGTCTACATGATAGTGATGGTGTCTACATGATAGTGATGGTGTCTACATGATAGTGATGGTGTCTACATGATAGTGATGGTGTCTACATGATAGTCATAGTGTCTACATGATAGTGATGGTGTCTACATGATAGTGATGGTGTCTACATGATAGTCATAGTGTCTACATGATAGTGATGTGTCTACATGATAGTGATGGTGTCTACATGATAGTGATAGTGTCTACATGATAGTGACGGTGTCTACATGATAGTGACGGTGTCTACATGATAGTGACGGTGTCTACATGATAGTGACGGTGTCTACATGATAGTGACGGTGTCTACATGATAGTGATGGTGTCTACATGATAGTGATGGTGTCTACATGATAGTCATAGTGTCTACATGATAGTGATGGTGTCTACATGATAGTGATGGTGTCTACATGATAGTCATAGTGTCTACATGATAGTGATGTGTCTACATGATAGTGATGGTGTCTACATGATAGTGATGGTGTCTACATGATAGTGATGGTGTCTACATGATAGTCATAGTGTCTACATGATAGTCATAGTGTCTACATGATAGTGATGGTGTCTACATGATAGTGATGGTGTCTACATGATAGTGATGGTGTCTACATGATAGTGATGGTGTCTACATGATAGTGATGGTGTCTACATGATGGTGATGGTGTCTACATGATAGTGATGGTGTCTACATGATAGTGATGGTGTCTACATGATAGTGATGGTGTCTACATGATAGTGATGGTGTCTCCATGATAGTGACGGTGTCTCCATGATAGTGACGGTGTCTACATGATAGTGAGGGTGTCTACATGATAGTGACGGTGTCTACATGATAGTGACGGTGTCTACATGATAGTGACGGTGTCTAATGATAGTGATGGTGTCTACATGATAGTGATGGTGTCTACATGATAGTGATGGTGTCTACATGATGGTGATGGTGTCTACATGATAGTGATGGTGTCTACATGATAGTGATGGTGTCTACATGATAGTGATAGTGTCTACATGATAGTGACGGTGTCTACATGATAGTGACGGTGTCTACATGATAGTGACGGTGTCTACATGATAGTGACGGTGTCTACATGATAGTGACGGTGTCTACATGATAGTGATGGTGTCTACATGATAGTGATGGTGTCTACATGATAGTCATAGTGTCTACATGATAGTGATGGTGTCTACATGATAGTGATGGTGTCTACATGATAGTCATAGTGTCTACATGATAGTGATGTGTCTACATGATAGTGATGGTGTCTACATGATAGTGATGGTGTCTACATGATAGTGATGGTGTCTACATGATAGTGATGGTGTCTACATGATAGTGACGGTGTCTACATGATAGTGATGGTGTCTACATGATAGTGATGGTGTCTACATGATAGTGATGGTGTCTACATGATAGTCATAGTGTCTACATGATAGTCATAGTGTCTACATGATAGTGATGGTGTCTACATGATAGTGATGGTGTCTACATGATAGTGATGGTGTCTACATGATAGTGATGGTGTCTACATGATAGTGATGGTGTC